CTTTTTACGACTTTCCTCTTGAATTTCTTCGCAGCTCTTCAAAAAGAAAGCTCTCTTGGCGTTTTTGCGAAGATGAAAAACGAGGAAACACATACACAGAGATGTCTTTTCTTTGTGTTGCGTGTATTTTGGAAAAAATACAACATTTTATATTTGTGGCGGATATAAAATTTACATTGCATACATTGCAATAAAAAACGTACCTTAACCCGTTTATACAAAATTTATATGAATTTTCATAAAAATGAATTTGAAAACAAATCGCCTGATATTTTAACTTGAGACAGGAAGATTTAATTTTGATATTTTATTTAGAAATTGTAGAAAGCTCAGGTCACAGGAAATTGATTTTTGAGCAAAAAACTTGAGGTGGAATCATTCTAAGAATAACGTTATTTAAGACATTAACCATGGGTTTTCCTTGTTCAGAGTTGTTTGTTTTTATTTGTTTTTCTTATTTTCAAGTCAACTTTCTTAACGAGGAAAATTCCAGTTCATTATTTTTTATTTACATGCATCAAGATTAGCCCCTGGAGTGCCACTTCCTCCAACCCTTATCCAAATTTTAAATAATTTTAACCTTTGGTTGGCTGGAAAACAATTGGCTTCTTTTGAAGATTCCAATCAAATGATTATTATTATAATTATCTTTGTTTGTTTTTAAATTGTCCACATTGTTATTTTATTTTTCCAAACACGTCTGAAAATTTCGCATTACAATATAAAATAATACATTCCTGTAGGTTGAGCGTTGCTTGTATTATTTTTATTATTGTATTTCATTTTTATCTTCTTTCAAATAAATGTTCCTGATCTAAAAAAATTTCCTCGCCTGTAACCCATTGCCAAATTTTCTGCCAACAAAACAATTTTTGAAATGAAATTTGCCCTCTCGTCGTGTCTATGTGTCGTGAAATTCGGCAGAAATTGCAACGTGTGCCAAAGTGCTTCTGTGCACTGCCCGAGGGCCTCCGTCGGAAAAGCATTCGCGATAAATCTGCCAAGCCGGGTGTTCACACGCCACCTGCATGCCAAACAGCCCGATTGAAAGAAACGGCCCCCGCGCCGTCCAGATTAATATATTCATTGGCTGGGTGATTGCACATTATCGGCCGAAATCGAGGACGATAAATTCGGGCTAATCCAGAGGCGGTGTGTCTAATGACGGGCTTATTGGTACGCACTCTAGGATGTGTGCCGCAGTCTCGGGATTAAATTGTCAGCGCAGCGACGTGGGGCGCCGAGAGTCACGGCCCTTTATTGAGAGAGATCGGCCGATTCCTCACACGCTGATCCCTCTCATCTTGGCCAGGATATTGCATCACCTTCACACACAGATAATAAATAATTCATGTCGCGTATTTACAAAGTGGCGCCATATCTTGGTTCATTCACCAGCGCCACTCTTCCATCATCCAAGGTGTTTTCATTACCATATATATACGATCGAAATCAACAGCCGCTCTTTATTGGAAAAGAGCCGGGCCGGAGAAAAACAAGCACTTTGTCGCCCGGATTCGCGAGATTAATGTTTGCTCTATTTTGATTTGAATACGTTTGAACTCTGTTATTTTCCTCAAAGGAAAACCTGCAAAGGAATTTTGCAATACAGGTTACAATAAATGAGAATAGTGTTTTAATTAACATGAAAACTAAATTCGGATGCTAAATTAAAATCACTTCAAAATTTTATTTTTAATATTGTGTATGGTAACGCAAAGGATTTAATGGAAAAAACGTGTATTTTCAAATTAATTGTAATAACCTTTTGGTATAGTTACTGCCATTCAAAGGAAATATCATTTTAAAATTATTTTAACCAGTGAAAAAAAATGCTGAGGAAATTGGATAAATTTTTTGAAATTTGACTGACATGAAATTGAAATTATATTTTTTTTTACAAATACACATTTTTCTGTTCACTTGAATAGTAATAGAGTGAGTAATGAACATTGCTCTTTCTAAACAGAAACACAATACAGCTGTGAACAATCATTTATCTTACTATTGTTATTTTTTTATTGAATGAAAGAAATTGTATTGTAGCCAATTTTTTTTCTTTTAATCACTTCTCATTATTTCTTTTTAATACCATGATTAATGAAAATCATGTGAACCAGAATTTGAAATAAAATTTTTAAATAATTATTGTAAATTCTAATTGATTATATATTTATTTTAATATTTCTCTTACTGTAATCCAGTTGTGAGAACGGATTTCGATATTTTATGGGAAACCGGCAGATTTTCTCTATTTTGGAACATCGATTGTGCCACCCTATTTCGATTGATCCCAAGAAAGAGACTGATTGTTTTCCACGGCGAGAGAGGAAAAAGCAAAAGTTTTTTGGTGGCGAATTGGCTCCGAGTTATATCACGACAGGGGAAGGCAAACTTTTTGGCCCGAAACAACGGCTTCGAAACTCGTAAAAAGGCGCGATTGAAAGCGACTGTCATAAAGCGAATCCGGTCGGAGGATGTTTGCGCGTAAAAATGAGATACCTGCGCCTGCCATTATGCAAAACGCCGCCACACGTTCATGCAGAAGAAGAGGCAAAAAATACAGGCGTCGCCATGGAAACTCGCTCTCCGTAGATTAATCTGAAATTAAGCGCGCGCCACATGTGACGATAATGCGCTTTCGAGAGTGAATTACGTGCGCTGGAACATTACATACACGTGCATATTGCGCCGAGGCCATTAGAATTAGCCAGCACGATGCATCCATTAATTCATGACGCCCCCTTAATGCAGACATAATGAATTTCACGTCGGCCTCTCTGCGTGAGTCTGATACGGACGTGGCCGCCGGGTTCTGGAAAATAGTTTCGTGGCGAGATATGAGCTCGCGGGTGCGGTTTCCGCGTGCTGATAGCAAATCAAAAAGTTTCGCCGCCGGCAAGCGTGGTCGTAAATACGTGCGGCGCTGCTGCTCTTGATATAGCACAACTTAATCGTAAATAAATGCTCTCGGCCTCAAGTAGTGCATTTTTGTGTCGTAAAAGAATAAAAAGATGATATTTCTAAAGACCGTAAGTAGGGTTTTTGAAAAAGACTGAAATGGTCGCAGAAACTGCCATATTGTAATAAAAGAGACTGTTTATTTTTATTTGCTGTGCTGCTGTAATAAAAATAATGGGGAACAGTATCACACCAAAAGAATAGAAACTCATATATTTTTATCACTTGTCTTAACCGAGAAATCGAGAAATGAGAACAATATATTATATTTTTTTTAAATTTACCACAAAATGTACATTATTTGATTCGAAGTCAGTTCATTGTCAGGGGGCTCAGAATTATTTGCACCTGAATGTTGAAAAAATTTGTAGATATTTTATCCAGACTCTATATTACTAAATACTATCTCCTTTTTTATTTTAACTTTTTTTGCTTAAAATTGCACAGTATGTTAATTATTAATTAATAATTAAATTATAAGTCATTCCGACAATTGATAAAAGTAGCTTTGTTTGACCTTTTAAAAACCATTTGAAGCCACGAAAACGAGCAGTTTTTTAATGCAGTAATAAGAAATGATCAAACAATGGCCGGGTTTGATTTTACCAGAAGCTCACAATTTAAAATTATTTTATTAAATTAAAATTCATAAATTTGTTAGTGAATTATTATAACGTTTTCAACGAGTAAAATCTCAGTAAGTTCTTCATTTCAAGTTTTTTGCTCGATCCATGTATCATTTAAGCACACTTTGTAGCATTTTTAAATAAAACTTTATAATTTACGAGAATTTTTCCTCTTGAATGAATTAACGAGCCATTCACTCGCGAGCTGTACGCACACATTTACGTTTTCCCAACGTTTGCAAACCCTCTCGTGCGGTTTAAGCACACAAAACGAGAGCATACTCGTGCACATACGCCACTTTGGTTGACCCGTAATGTTATCGCAATAAAATTTAACGTCCCTCCGGCGTTTTTCCGCCATAAAAGAGAGCGAGCGTTCAATTCCACCACCCGGCGACGCACCTTGCCGCGAGCAAAAATTCATGCATTCGGCCTTGTTTGTTATTCATTTGCTCGCAGCGTCCCGTCGAGAGAGAGGGAGTTTTGCAGCCAGGTCATTCCACGAGCTAATAAGCAGGCTCCGTTTTTAGCCTGCGAGCCTGGCCGATCAATGCGTGAATTTTGTTTCCATTGTCCTGTCGGCGCGCAAACTTGAATTGGCATGCGACAAATGTTGTAATTATTTCAAGCGTGCGGCTAATTTTGCTTTTGTTCCTCGCTCGCTGGAATTTGCATGCGAGTCAGGAATTTCGCAACAGTCTGAACCACAGTTCTCTCTCTCTCTGTGTATGTTAATTTACTTTTGAAAAGCGGCGCCGCACCGATTGCCGCTCCGAGCAGAGCACTCTAATTGATTTCCAATCGGCAAAAAAGAGCGGGTGCACGTGAGTTCATTGGCATGGTCGACGTGATTTCGATGAAAGCTATGGAAATGGCAAAAATCGGTCACATTTCAACGCTCCATTTGTCCTTTTTTTCTGCCAATACCGAACAATTCTAGAGTGAGTGATAAAAAAAAAATTACTTTTATTGGACGTGACTTCGATCTATTAAATAAAAATGGTGAAAAAGCTCAGTTGCTCGAAAAGTGGAGAGAAAAAATTGGAATTATGGCGATTGATTTATTTTTTAAGAAGGATAGAAAGAAGATTCTGAGTAACAAAATTTAAATTGGATAAAGCAATTAATCGTCATTCAATAAGGACGAATTTTTGAAATTTGGAAAAAATGCATTAGTAAAAAATTGTTGAAAATATTATTTCTAAATAGATCTTAAAATATTAACAAGAATAATTCAATTTAATTCGCTTTAAATTCCACCCCCTTAATCTTATTGAATTTCAGGTTGGACAATTTTAAATTATGGATTTTCCATTATAATAATTACTATTTTAATTAACCAATTAAAATCAATATTTTATCCTTAATGCCTTCCAGTGTTGCCAAACTTACCATTTTCCTTCATTGTTTCAGGTAGATCCAAGTAGATAACAAGTACATAGTTTACAAAACTGCATCAGTGGCAAGAGGGGCGCAAATTATAGAAAACTGTAAGTCACTCCAAAAAAATATTAAGAATTTTGGGTATGGCATTTGGGGGTTTTCCTTCAAGCAAGGATATACTTTTAAGACAAAAAATCTAAGAAAGTCTTATAATAACAAATTTGATTGGACTTGGAGGTTTCCCACCTCAACCCCTTTTCGTTGCTCACTTCTTTCACTTTGGCAGAATAAAAGGAAATGCAACCCGCTTCGTACATGTGTTCAGCAGGTTGCCTAGCCTGTCTCTTATCTGCCGTCAGCTGCCAGTCACAGAGGAATGAGCAATTTCAACTACTCTCGTTTTTCCGCTTTCCGTGCGGAGGCTCAAATTTCTCCGATTGTGTTCTCGCTCACGCCATCGGAGCCTGCCTGAATCAGACGCGCGAAGCTCGCGGCATTAATTTGTGGCGTTAATTGACACTCGTCGACATTCGAATTCCCCCAGACACGCAGCCACACTCGGTAAATCACGCAGTCCATAAATTAGAAAAACCACCTCTTGTTAACAAAACTTTAGAAAAAAAGGACAACGGCCTCAAACGAAAATTAGCATTTCGCTCTCGCACAAAAAGATAAGAACCTTTCATAATATTTCATACGCGTGCACACATTTTTCTGGCACAACTTTCTTTCTTTCTTTTTCCCCCCGAAAACAAGCGCGGCCCTCTCTCGACACTTTTTGCAGCCCCACTCCAGAGTTGCACCACTACTTCAAGTTTTCTCCTTGAATGAGAGCGGATTTTTATTTATGTTCGCCGTCCAGCTCGGGGGTTGAAACAAAAGAGGAGCATTAAAAAGTAATCACGAGACGGCGGCGGCTGCTGCAAAAAAGGACCCCCGGTGCCTTTGATTTAATATAGCTCCTCGCCATGCTCCCTTTTAATGCATTTATAATGTGACCGGTCGGTGCAAAAGCGAACAAAAAACCCGACCTGCAACATGGCTACTCCGATCAATCAGTCGGTAAACCACAGTTAACATACAACTTCATTATACTATTTTGATCTGTTGGTACAGTAGAAAATCTTCAAGCACATATCATGAATTTTTGAGCCAAAAATGTTTTTGAATCAGCAAAGTATAAAAAAAATTCAGCACAACCGAGCAATTTTTGTAGACGCAGAGCAAAAATCTGAAAAACATGAAAATTGAACTAATGAAAAATTTACATTTTAAATGTAAGAAGATAATTTTTACATGTTCAATGTAGTGGACAAATTTTTGGAATTCATTTAGTGTTTCATGGAATTTTGCAAGTCTATTCTATTGTTAGCGGTGACCAATAGCGAAAGAGAACACAAAATCGAACCAAAATGGCTCCCGATCAATCAGTATTCAGGCGTGGAAAATTCGACCGAGGTGAAAATTTGCCAAAGTGCGGCGCGAATTACGTCCGGAGAGAGCACCTGTGCTCCAAGGAGCGCTTTCCTCTCCATTTTTTTCCAGTCGCGTGGAGCTAAAATGCCCTCTGAGGGTTCAATGATTCATGAAAAATGATGGCCCGTAGTATAGCGAGCGCCGGGGAGCCTTTTTTATTTACGCTCTTTGTAAATTTTTGAAAGGAGCGAGTGGCGGAGACGCAAACGGCTCACCCGATTTCTGCACATGATATCCCCCCGAATCGAAAATACTTGTGTAAACATAAATATCACCAGGCGTCACTCGCAGGCACCGCCGACGAATTTTAAAGGGACGTACACACACAACTCCTAGAGTCGGCGGTAATATTTCAAAATACGTACTGCATATGTATATGTTGTCGTGCAAAAGCGATTCTTGGTGTAAAAATTGATGCTAACTTTTTGGTAAAGTCAAAGCAGAGTAACCAACTTGCTGACACATATATTTTTAATAGCCACAGTTTTAATTATTTCATCTTTTACTGTTCACTAATTATAAGAAAGAGTAAAATTAATTTATTTACAAGGTATAATAAAATTCCCAATAGAATTATTTTAATAGAAATTAAGTAAACATGAGTTATTAATAGTGAAAAGAATAATTTAAAATTGATGTGGGCTATGTTGAAAATTCTTAGTTTTGTAATTGAAAATAAGACTATATAATATTTTAGTATTATTCTAAATTATTAATTTTTTATATTTCAAACGGAGTTTTATTTTATTTTATACTTTTACAAAATTATAAGTTATTTAAAAGTTTATATTATTTTTTGTTTATTATTTTTTTAATAAATATATAATTATTTATTGCTACCCAAAATTAAATAAATTTCTAAAATTTGATAGAATATAAATACATAAACAATACAATGCAAGCGATAATTTTATTGAACAATTTTCCAATATGAAATTTGCCATCTCTCGCAGAGCATCTACCATAAAATCTCCATTATTCGATCCAAAAATTAATTTGATTCCTTCAGACTTTGCGCGTTTTGACCTTAACATATATATGGAAAGTATGGAAGTCAAGAGAGGCGCAGTTGTAAACAACAAAACAGCCCTAGCACGGTGTGTGTGCGTCTCTGCGAGTGAGCGAGAAAAACAGTGTGCTGGCGCCTCGGAGACCTATAAATAAAAAGCGAGGGGCCTCGACGGCAGCAGCTCTAACAATTTGCATCTCGTAAAGTTATATATTTTTTTTGCGAGGGCAGCCGTGATTAATCTAGCGTAACACGAGGGAGAATTCGACTTATCATTCCGCGGGCGACAAATTTTCGTGTCTTTCGGGAGCCAAACTAAACTTGTGCCGAATTTCTGACGAGTTTAATTCAATTTAACTTTGACGACGACGGCGCTGCCTGCTGTATTAATATTATCTAATCCCAAAGTTGACTCGCGATGATTAAACGCACGCTATCTGCCAACTTGGCGCTGCCCGGGCATTAGAAGGCTGAAGGGCTTTGCGGTGTTGAAAGCGTGCACGACAAGAATAAGCGACGCGCGTGCAGAGTGACAACACTTGCGACATTAACTTGATGAAGGTAATTAGCAAATTGGCAAAGTTCCCGCCACAAGAGAGCCATGAATCACACTGGAATATTTCCCAAAATTTCTACTCAAAAGATGCAACTTTCATTTTTAGGGTAGAAAATTATATTTTCAACCGAAGAAACCTCAGATTTTATTACAAAAATTACTAAAAATTTTTAAATATTCTAAATGATGAAAATTACTCTATTAAAATTTATTGAAAAATTTAAACTGGGCTTAGCCTTCTTATTAACATTTATTAGAGGATAACACTGACCCCAAATGACAATGAACTACTTTAAAAACATGACAAAAAATAATGTATATTTTTTAAATAAAATAAATTTCTATAGAGATTCTTGTAATTGTTGCTTTGGAACCTCTGGCATTCTAGATGTTCATTTATCAATGAAATAAATTATATTAATTTTAATCTATTACTTTATAATTGATAAAGGTGAGTCATAAAGTAAAATAACTCAATTTATTCCAGACTTGTTGAATTTGCCGGTCGTTGGCATACCAAACACACATAAACTCGATCGTTTCTGCACCTTTGCCCGGGGCAGCGGCGCCGTTTATCAAAAAGTACGCGACGCCCTCATTTTCTTCTCGAGGAAGCGCCTCTGCAATAAATCGCGAAATAAGTGCAGAGCACTCGTCCCTGCGAGGCGAGCCATAAAAATGGGCCGGTCGGTCGAAACACTACAGGTAGATTTATCATTTGGGGTGTTAAAATTTCTGACCGGCCGCCGCGTCGACGAGGGACGTTTTATCATTCGACGGCCATCAAACTCACTATTTTACTTTTATTGCGATAATCAATTCACCTTTTGAGGCCGTCACATGGGCAGGTCAATATAACGAATATAACGACAGCTGCAGTCTCACAGGGGAGTGCGCGTTTTGCTCGGCCCCTGCAAATGGAATGGCGCAATCAACGCAGGCCGGAAAGAAAGTGCAGCCGGAAATTACATTCGACTCAATTTGCGCTTGTAAATTTTTAATACAATATTTCCCGCGACTTCAAAGAAAAAAGCAGGAAAGGCGAAATTCACCTTTGTGACTTTCTCGCTCGCTCGCTCGTTAGCAGCAGCCGGTGCGTTAGGGAAAAACGGAGCGACGCATGTGTCGCTTTCTGAATTAATTTTTCTCTTTTTCGCCGCTCTCGGTTCGTCTCTCATTAGGGCGTTCTTTGATAAATTTGAAAACGGAATTTGGTTAAGTGGTGTATTTAGTGAGAGCATTTTTTACAAATTTGCGATTTTGTTTCGTTGATTTGTGCATAAAGAAAAAAAAAATGCAAAGAAAATTGGTTACTATGTAGCAGATTTTAAGCCTTTTGAAAATTATGCTACACTAAAATAATTCAATTAATTTTGGTACATTTTAATTTTAATTTAGAATCACAACTTGCAGCATCAAAATTTACTTTTTAGGCATAATCAAAATTTATTCCATATGAAAACGTTGTGTCTGCGATTTAAAAAAAAAATACTGAAAATATCTTTTTACAAAGATTTTATGAAATTGATGATTATTAGAAAGAAAAAACTTTGGAGATTGTGTGGGATGCTCAAATTATATTCATTTTGTAGCAAAAGAAATTTAATTTTTGATTTCAAGCCAAAGGATGTTGTAAACATTTTTTTATTGCTAATTTACATCTCTGATTTTGAGAATTAAATATAGAAATTAGGATTTAGGATATTTACTTACTGGCAAATACATAAATTTGAAAATAACAATTTTACTGAAAATTTGATATAAAAAAACGTTCTGGTTCCTTCAACAGATTTATTCAAGGTTAGTTCCGGTTAGTTTAACAGTTAAAATTCCACTTTTTAAAGCTATATACAAAAAGATTGGGTCACTTTTTGCAGCTTCTTTAACTTATTCGAGCCACATGGCGGCTCATAAAAAATGCTCCTTACAGCTTCCTTCCTCTTTAGTGCTCTTTCCGTGTGCACCCATTTATTTCTTCTTGTAAGAGGATTGCGCAAGTAAAAATAATGTACGGCACACTTGATTCCAAGCATCTGCAGGCACGACGGGAAAAGAGGAGAGACGCC